CCCTGGGCGGAAAATAGTTTCCCACACTTGCTTTCAAGTGCTGCCTTGCAGCACAATGCCAGTGGCCCCTTCAAATATGATACAGTTATACTGGGTTTTAGGAGCGTGTCTGCTATCTATAAGGTAGTTCTCTTTGAACTGGTGTTAAAGGAGCGCATTCCTCACTAGGCCTTTTTCTGAACGGGAAAGCTGTTTGAAGGCAGTGGGGTAAAACAGATCCTGTGAGGTTGGTGATCATGAGCATTGAGTAACTCTTTTCTCTCTCTCTACTGTAGATGGCAAGGATATGAAGGCTTTGTAGCTGTTCACCATCTTCCAACGTTTGGCTGTAGGGACTGGGAAGCTTTCACCACTGCAGCTGGCTCTTACCTCATGTATTCAAGTGCAAAAGAACCATTATCCAGGGTGCTGAAGCTGAAAACCTTTTGATCTGGACAGGGGTGCTTTGATTTGCTGCAAACAAGTGGGCAAGTCTGGACTTGTGAGGAACTACTTTGGCTGCTCAGGGCTAGGATCAGGAATGCTGTACCAAAGAGTCACTGCCATGAATGCCAGAGATGCCAAAGGATAGATACCCAGGTTGCCTCTCTGGGTTAGGCTGAGTATAAGGCTGCTCAGGATTAGATTTCAAACCTGTTTTCCATTACCTGGAATGAGCTAGGAATATACATCACTTGGAGCTGGCCAGTGATATTAGTGAGTACAGTAACCTTGATTTCTCTCTCTCTCAGACATACCACACCATCCATGCAAGACAAACACATGCCCACTTCTGAACATCTTCCAGGAGCTGCTAATATAATCCACAATCCTGTGGGCAACAGAAACTAGAAGATGCCTTTAGCACATTATGGGCTACTGACCCCCAGTTTAGCAATATGGAACAAGTTTAAGCATTTGGGTTCCAGATTCCAGATGAATGCTTCCACTGCCATGTCACTTTATGGGAAGAGCTTCAGTGTGCACCATTTTGGCATATTCCAACCCACTGTGAGCCCCTGTGGATATTGCTGGATCCCTGAGAAAGATCCCAGAAGAACGGAAAGAAGATTCCTTAGGATATGCTGTATGTAGCTTGAGAGCTTTGTGCTACAGCAAAGACCCAACTGTTGTTTTTTCAAAGCTATTAAACCAGTTCAGGCAATTATTTATGGCTCTGGATTTTAGGAGTTCAAGGGAAAATATCTGGGCTGAGAAAATCTGAAGCCCATTTACTCCCTTAATACAAAGTACTGCAATCCACACCAGAGAAGATGCACAACCCATACTGGCTTGGGACGTCGTCATGCCAACAGTTGCACAGACCAGTGGGCTATGGTGAAAGCCCTGGCCTTACAAAGTGATCTGTACATTAGTCTTCCACATTTTCAGCATAACTACAAGGAACGGAAAGTCAGATGTATTCTTGTTATGTTTAGGCTTTATGGATTTCACAAAATGGTGCTTACTGACATTTGGAAAGCCATTAGTACCTTGTCATGTGGATCTGTGACACTTCTCTAGTAAGCTCTACCCCATTTTCATTGGTGCTTTCTCAGTCTTTGCTTACATGTTAGCCTGTGAATAATCCCCCAAAATATAACTAATACTTGTTATTGCAAAGGATTTCAAATCATTCTCTATAAATGATATGTTTATATTGTATGAATTGCTACTATTGACAATAGCAGTTCTTATAGGGAGTGGAATTATTATTTATTATCCAAAGAATATTTGCAATTTTGAAAGTAGCATCTAATAAAATTGACGGAGTGACTTTGATAACCTCAGGGATTCTGCTTCAGGGGTTACTTTTTGTTAGCACTGTAGACCCAAACACCCACCTTAGCTGAAATAAGTGAACTGCAGTTCCAGTTGCCAGAACTTTCTAGGTCCACATTACCTGGCTACCAGACTTACCTAAGTTAGGTTCAGCTTCGTTTGCAAAAACACACTGAAGTAACGAAACATAAAAGATGACTGCTGATTTTTACTACTACTTTGCATAATGCACGATTAATTTATGTAATTCACTGCCCCAGATTGTGGATTTGGCCACTAGCATAGGTAAGTCTCAAAGGGGATTAGAGATGGGAACATTTTACAGGGTCTGGAATGTGCTTATAATGCAGCCTACAAGGTGCAAGAATGAGTGAAGGAATCCCATTCCAAAGCATCCTATGCAATCACAACTCCTAGTGAGACGTTCTTGACCACTTATGTCAATGTGACATCACTCTCCTGTGCAAAGGTCCCCCTCCCCTCCATCACTTTCACCATCTATATATTCCCTTCTCCTACATATTGCTTGCTTCTTGGAATTAATGCAGTTTTTAATTTGTTCATCCTAAATAAGAATATATATATATATGCTGATCAATGATTTTATAGATAGGTTTAACTAATCTAGTATGTTCAGCCCTGGCTAAAAGTAAAAAATAAAATGGTTGTGTTCCTTACCAAGCCCAGGAGGGGGCAATGAAGGACAATGTTCCAAAGGATGTTGTTAACAGTATGAAGGGGACTAAGCCAGTTAGTGGGGGTTTTAGTAATAGCATTTTCTAGGTAGGTCTTTTGGGCAATATAACCCTCATGTAGGAAATATGTGGGGTGTGTGAAGCAGTCTGAGGAAATGTTTGTCCTGTTCCTCACATACCAGGCACAACAAACAGCAGCAAGCCTGACTTTTCTGTACTAGTAAGCATACACTTAACCAGCAACAATGTAAGGCTATTTTATCTGTCTAAAACATGCTGCCTACATGCTGCCCTCCAGATGTTGCTATGTTCCAGCTTCTCTAACCCTCAGCCATCATAGCCAGGGATGGTGGCAGCTGTAGTCCAACACATCTGGATGGCACACCACTGGCTACTCTTGACTTACACCAATATTCCAGCTGGGAGTGGCTGTCTAGGGTCTCATGGAAGTTTTTCTCACCCTCAGATGTTACCTGATTCTTTTAACCGGAGGTGGCAGAGATTTAATCTTGGACCTTCTGCATTCAGAGCAGGGGCTGTTCTCGGTGAGTTGTCATCTTCAAAGTCAATCAGAAAGCTGCTCCTGGTTCTCTGGCCTAGATGATGTCACCTGTTTGTTACTTTCACATTTTGACAGTTCCTTTGAGGTGAGGGAATCTTAAGACAGTGCCAAGCTTTTTTGAAACGGCAATGTGTGAAGAAGTCCAAACATTTCGGCTAAACAGTGCTGTGGGTAGCTGTTGCCTAGGTAACACACACACACACAGACACACACACACACACACACAGGACACAAATAAAGAGCAAAACCCTCCCAGCAAAACTTGCTAATTATTCCTTTTCAGTTATAACCAAGTCCTACATTCATCTGCTTGAAATAAGATGAATGGTGTCTTTCTGGGCTGGCTTCCTGCCCCTGGACCCACAGAGTGGAACTGTTGCTGAAAAGATACTTGATTTAGGCTTGACAACACCTGATTTAAGCTTCAGCATAATGTGTACGACTGTTTTCCAGACAATAAACACACACACAACATACCATATTTTATCCATTGTGCTTGCATTAGCTCTGATCCAGCATCAACAGCATAATATGTCATCCTTATGTATAATGGATGCAGGTAATCATCTTGTCAGGGAAAGGATATACAACTTCTTTAAAAATGTGCAGTAGGAGTGCTCCAGCACTGTTATCTGCGGGGGGGGGGGGTCACACTCAGCAAGAAAATTACCGTATTTTTCCGTGTATAAGACTAGGGTGTTTTTTTTAACCACAAAATTAGGTTTAAAATTGGGGCTCATCTTTTACATGGGTAGTGCTGAGGGGTGCTTTCTTAATTTGGAGTCCCCCAAAATAGGGGGCGTCTTATACACAGAAAAATACAGTCATACCTCGGATTGCGAACGTGATCTGTACGGGAGGCACGTTCGCAACCTGCAGCGCCGCGTCTGTGCACGCGCGACGCGATTCGCGCGTCTGTGCATGCGCGTGATGTCATTTTGTGCTGCTGTGCATGCGCGAGCACTGAAACCTGGAAGTAAACCGTTCCAGTACTTCCACATTCGGCGCGGTCCGTAACCTGAAAACGCACAACCCACAGCGTTCGCAACCTGAGGTATGACTGTAGACAAATAAAATCCAGTAAAATATATCCACTCCATACTTCAGCTTGGCTATGACAAACTGTCAATTGGCTTCTCCATTTCCGGAACACACTCTTAATAGCCACTCCACTTGGTCATTAAACATTAGTGTAAATTCTGAAAGTGCCTCAAAGTGCTTAATTTGCTGTTTTATGCCCATCCCCTTTTTCAAATGTACCCTATAGGCAGGGACTGTATTGTTTTTTAATCTTTCTGAAGTGTCTAAAAATCTTTATAGGCAGCAGCAGTAGCAGTGCTCCTGAAACTGAAGAGCAAATGGTCAGGTGAGGGAATCTTAGACAGTGCCAAACTTTTTTGAAAAAGCAATGTGTGAAGAAGTCCAAACATTCCTTTTTAAAGTAGCACAGGATGGGCACTCCACTGTAGTGGCAATGGAACCCAAAGAGCACACAGCCACCCAATATAAAGTTCACAAAACAGGCATTTGTGTAATGCATCATGAGTGATGTCACAGGCACAAGTTGTCTGTGATACACAACTGCATGCTACAAGGACATCCCAGTAGCAATGTGTGTGCTAACAGAAGGATGATTTGTGTTCCGCCAGTAATGTAACATAGCAGTTCTGAGTGTTGGGCTGAGAGATATCCCTGCAACCCAATCTTGAGGAAGTCATGGGCACAACAGCTGAATAACAAATGTGCATAAGGGGATCATCAGACAAAGGCCCTAAGATCCTGTTCTTTTGGCATTGTGTTATCCCTCTTTTTTATTTTGGCTGTTAATTGCCAGAGTACTATTAAATTGGATCGTGTGTACTGTAGAAACAGAGTCTCAACAAACATGCATGTAGCTATATCCATTTTCCCAAAAAAGCTATTGGAGCTTTGAATACCGCAGCAGCTGAGATTATTTTAACAGTCTGAGGAACCACTTGAAATTTTATTTCCTTACTGTTTATTGTTTCAGCAAATGAGCTGCGTTGCCTAGGAATTTTTGTCAGCTGGAAAGACATGTTGAGTGTAGCAACTTGCCACTGCCATGTGCCCCCTAATTTTTGTTTGGTTTACATATAATCCATACCCCACTTTTCCGCCTTACTAAATTCCAGCACCAGCTACATCTTAGGACCACCCTTGAGGAAGTGGGGTGGGTTTGAAATATGAGAAAGAGGCATATTTAGAAATAAGCATTTTCAGTCACGTGCTTCCTTCCTCCCTTTCTGTGGAAGAAGCCTGTTCAGGCTCGTTCATTACATAATATATGCTTAAAATTGTCCTCTCTGATTATATTCAATGCTCACCTTAATAGTGGTCACCATGAAAATAGGTTAGTAACCTAACAAAGAGTGAAGAGGTGCAGACTCCAAATGCCATGTAATACGTAAGCCCAAAGGAAGCACATACCCTCTTCAGCTTTGCAACACAAGCACGCTTACATCAAACATAATTCCTGCTCATGTACATGAATCTATGTGTGTGCATGCTTGCACAATTTACCGATTTGAGAGAAAGGACTTTGTGTGGTTCCAAAAACTCCTGAGAGAGTGTGTTTGCAGTGTCCCAAAGAATCAAGTAAAGGTCAACCATGTACATACTTCCCATTGAAATCAAAAGCATTTTCGGAGCCACCAAGTTCTAGACACTGCAGGGCTTTGGGGTCTCTCCCACAGAATCAAATCCTGATTGTAAACATCTCACATCAACCGTCCATTGTCCTAAAGTTCTCCTAGAAAGCAGATCTCCTTATCTCTAGTTTTCTGCTGGAATCCTTCTGCTGGTAATATGGCACAGAACATGGGAACCTCACTCTTCCTATATTTATATAACAACAAGTTTTCATTTTCTATTAAACTGTTGGTTTGTTTTTGTTTAAAAAAAAGTTGTTGCAGAACTAGTTGGACATAAATGTCCCAAGTCCCTCCCAACGTTCTTTCCTACATAGAAAACTGGAAGTCCAGCCAAGGATCAACATTCCTGGCTACAGAATAGTGCTGATGGTCTCTTTAGGGACCCTTGTGCTAGGCAGGGATTTCAGATATTCCAGGTGCTTCTTTGTGTCCTCTTGGTTGTGCCGAACATAGTACACCACATAGCTGATGACTAAAGTAAACCAGCTGAACATGGTAACAAACATGGCGACATCCGTGGTTTTCTGGTGCATGTTGCAAAAGTTGATGCCCGAATCGAGGATATGGAGCAGTGGTTTCCCAGCGTACTCCTCTTGCACAGATGTCTGGCAGGTGATCTCGTTGACTGAATCAGGGTCTAGTTTCACTTCCCACAAGACTTCCTGCAGAGTACATTCACAGTGCCAGGGGTTATTGGACAGGCGGATCATGGCATTTAAGTTGACCAGGGCTTCCTTTGGGATCCTCTGGATGTGGTTGCCAGAGAGGTCAAGCAGCCGCAGGCCATCGGCAACCCCTTTGAACGCTGCAGAATCAATCTTCTCAATGGCATTTTTGGAGAGGTCTATCTCCTGCAAGTGGGCGAGGTGCCTGAATGTGCTGTTAGGGACAGAGGTGATCTTATTGGCATCCAGTTTCAAAAACATGGTGTCCTTGGGAATATCTTTTGGAATTTCATCTAGGTTGCTAGCACTGCACAGAACAGCTGTGGCTCCCGAGTAGTTGGTGCACTGGCACTGGTCTGGGCAGGAGGTACAACAACCGTAAGGGGCGCAGAAGAGGAGGCAGAAGAGGGCTTGAGACCAGAACAACAGCGCAGGCCGAGATGCTTCAGCTGCTAGAAACATGCTGGTCATCCAATCAGGAGTGTGCAGTCCTGCATGGCTGCAAAGGCAAAGGCAAGGCTCTCTCAGAATCTTTTGAACTAGGAATTCCTACCATCACACACCAGCCCCCAGCTATCTGCAGAGATACAGGTCCAGCCCAGCCATCTGCTCCTCATTCGTTCCTCTTGTCTTCCAGAGGTGGGTAAGCAACCCAAATCAGTGCCGGATTAAACCCTGTGGAGGCCCCTAGACAGTCAAAATCTCAGGGGGGGGGCTCACATTGAACTAAGAAAGCTTGATTGTAATTTTCTTTCAACATCAAATCAATATTATTTTGGCCCATTGTTGAAGGGCCCATAAAATGGTGCCTACTCTGCCTATTTGGTAATCTGGCACTAATCCCCATGGGGGAAGACAATATGAATAGGTTTTTCTAGGATTCGTGATTCTCTGGTTCAGTCTAAGACAGCCGACCAAGCACCTGCTGTCCTACAAAGTTTGAGGACATGTTACAAATGCATGTTACGAAGGCCTGACAGCCAGCCAGCCTTCCTTCCTTCGCTGGAACCATGGACATGGGCGGGGGGGGGGACACACAAACAAATGACGGCAGAAGTTAGCCCATATGGCCTTGGCAAATACATGCTCCCAAAGCCACATTGGCTGAGATTAGTACAAACACAGGTCTGGCACCAACAGTGGAAGCAGGAGGCAGGGGTGCTTAACTGGTTTTGGATCATAGCTGAAGAGGACTTTAAAGATAATCTAGATATTGGTGTTCTTCCATTTAGAAAGGGCAGGGGACACGTGAATAAATCCTGTTTTACATTTGAATTACATTTTACTGGCTACAATGCAATGTGTTCTGACATTTGTATTGCACTGTCCATTGTAATGTTTTTTTATGTGAGGAATTTTCTGTGCGGCAGTTAGTTTAACTGTCGCTCGGGGCCTTAACTGACACCTATGAAGAAAGGTTGGTATTAGAATTCCCAGTATGCAAATAAAGGGTTGAATGTATGCACATTTTGATTGGTGGGTGCAGGTTTAGAACTTTCAGTTAAACTGTGTGATTGGATGGAACTGGAATGGAAGGGCCAGAAGAAGCGCATATAAGGTCGGCTGCTGGTCAGTGGTTAGTTAGTTGGCTGGAGACGGCTGGAGGTGCATGGTGTCTGTGGAGTCAGCCAAAAGGAAGAGACAAAACCAGAGGAAGAGGATTGGATAAGAGGAAAGAAGACCTGAGAGGCAGGTAGAGCGGCTTGGTGGATGAAGGACAGTGGAAGCATTTGGCTTAGGCTGAATAGAAAAGGGGAGAACCTGCCAGCAGCACTGAAGGGAGAAGCAGCTTGAAATGCTGGACTCTGGTGACTGGCAGGAGTAGTGAGGGAAGATTCTGACGGCAGTACAGCAAGACAAACCAGTACTTACACAGGTCAGAAAAAAGGATTGGAAAAAGTCCTCCACTACAGTGTTGGTGGGGATTAACTTGGATGGAGAGAACAGAAGGGCAATTTGGCAAAAGATTTTTATAGGGCAACTAACTGCTTCCTTAAAGCTGTCTTCGCTTAACATTATAGTTGGATATAAGCTCTGTTGATATTTAAACTGACAGTAACAACAAAGCGTATACTACAGTACTATTTTGAAGTAACCAGCTAAGTTTGTGCACCTTATAATCTTGTAGGTCATAAAGGTAAAGTACCTTCATTAAATGTAATATTTGTATATGACTAGCTTTGTACCATGCCTATCTCCCAACCTTACTGGGTTACTGGTAAGTTAAGGGTTCAGACAAAGTAAGCGAGACTGAATGAGCAACATTGGAATGAGAGATGGGTTTTGTTATTATAGATTAAGTAAGGAAATGCCCTGCCCTCCTTTCCTCCACAGGTGGCAAGAAGGAAATGGGCCTTCTCCCCTGTTATCAGAGAGGTATTAACAACAGCATGCTTCTGTCACATCCATTTAACCAAAGGTTTTCCCAATAATTAATGCTAGATTCTACAATCATATATTTTTTCTGATATTTGTATTTTTCAAAATAGTTTTAATGTATGCAGGAGCAACCAGTGCTGTGGTGCCAGTCTCCCTCTGGGTAGCAGCAACACTGCCAAGTGTGGCAGCAGGGGGGCAGTGTTTCAACCTTACCACTGTCTTGTCCCATTCAGGTAAGTGACAGCACCCCCCCCACCCATTCCTGAACATATTTTACAGTGTTAACTGCTTTGAGATTTTCTTAATAATAGTAAGCGATATAAAAGTACTTTAAAATACATTAAAATAAATAAAATGTGTACCCTCTGCAGAGGGAAAAGCAGCTGTGGAGGGCAATGTGGAGTGGAGAAGTGATGAGTCTGAAAGGGGTTAGGCACTCCTTTAACCCCTACCACACCTCTGCTTTAAAAAGCATACGCTTCAGAAGTATTTTTTCCTCAATGAAACCAGGTCTATTGGGTTCGTCACATGCATTTGTACATAACACTCAAATATTTATTTGAATCATTTTCAGAATATATTACCAACTTCGTATGGCTGTTGATAAAATGACCCCAATTTTTAAAAAATCAAGAGACTGAAAACTGCGTAACTGATGGCCATTATTGTTGCTGTTGCATTTATCAATCCATGCCTCAACCTACGCTACTCATAGCCCATTCTACACCACAAATTTGTATCAGTTTTATACAAGCTTAACTATGATGGATGGGAACCGTAGTCTGGGGAAGGGTACTTGCAATTCTATGGCATCTCTAAACCTTCATTCATAGAACTACAATCCCCAGAGTTCCCCAAGGAAAGGAAATGACTAGGACTGCTACACTACAGCTTAAGTCTGTAGTATAAATCTGCCCTGCTAGTGGCCAGCTGGGATCTAGAAAATTGAAGTTATTTTGCATTTGAACATCAAGACATTATGGGGTGTTGATGCCCAGCTGTATGTATCCTGTTATGGATCTCAGTCTTTGACTGTAGTGATGATGACGATGGTGATGATGATAGAGGAGAAATCCCCTCTATCTCCGGGAGAATCCCGCTGCTTCCCCCCTCCCTTGTCCTACCTAGGAACGTTTTCAGCGGCGGCGCTCCTTTCCCTTTAATAGATGCGTCGTCGAGGGAATTCTGACAGGCGCAGCTTTTCCAAGCTGGGCAAGCGCCGTGACATGACAAGAGGCATCTGCTGCTTTCCCCACAACTATTAAAGGTACATGAGTCATAACGCCCAGAGGTTTGGCCATCCCTGCTGTAAGCCCAGCAGGGAAAGAGGCTGATCTCGCCTTTCCCTCCAGGCGATGTGAATATGACACTAAAGATCTCGCTGCAGCATCCGCCCACACGGCGCTTCTCAGACTTCCGAGCACGATGCCCGCAGTGCAAAAGCAGCCCGGATCTCGGAATCCCGCTTTGCAGGGCTCCGAGAGCCTCGCCAACACTGCTTTAACTTAGATCGCTATGGATCCCATCCATCCTGCAGATCCGTCCCCGTTAAACCCACCGGCTGGCCCTCCCCGGCGCACACCTCCCTCCCTTCCCCAACCTGAGGATGGCGTGCAGGCGCGTTACCTGAGCTGAGGTCACTGGAGCCCACCGGACGCGACTGTGCCAAGTTTCTCCCGCGCCACCAGCGCAGCGCCGCTCTCCTGGCCACGCCCTTAGTCGAGGGGGCGGGCGCAGCTCAAGGCGGCGGCACCGCGGCGAGGACTTGCAGCCCGCTTGCGCGCAGGACTTGTTGCTGCCATCCTCTCGCCTTCCCCAGTCGCACACAAAGCCGTTCATGGGGGCTGCCGGCTGTAATTGGATAGCGCCTGCTTGTCACCGACAGCCTGGAGGGGGGCATCCTTGGATTTTTTAAAGGGGCAGCTGCCGCTCAGGCAGAAGGGAGGCTCGCCTTGCCTCGCGCTCACAGCCATATTGCGCTTTTACGCATTTGGAAAGCAGATCCGGGGAGGCCAGAGAAAGCCGCCAGTCCTTGTTGCGTCTGCTGTCGAGCCGCCGGCTTGGGTCTCGCTCCGAACGCCGCTTTTATTAGCTACTAAAATGCCATCTGTGAAGTTGCATTTCAGTCCTCGTGTTGAGAAACGGTGGCATGGGATGGGGATCGCGCGTCTGCGCGCACGTGGCACATGCATACCCGGCATGTGTTTGCAGGCGCGCCTCCCGACACCAGAGAAAGGTCCACGACAAAAGCCGTAGGGCGTGAGCCCCGTTTGTCTGGCCCAAAGACTTGAAAGGCCGTACAGTAATTTATAGGCACTTACTACCATTCTATGTAATAGAACTTTGGTTGCAAGTCGGCGGCGGAAAGGGATCCACACACGTGTGTTCGGATGTGTAGGGAATTTTGAGAGGGAAAAACCTTTATGGAAACTGTCTGGCGCCTGAGGCCTGGAAGGACTTCTCATTCTGTATACTGCAGTTAAGCCTTTTTAGATGGGCTGAGAGATGTCAGTGTGGTCAGTAGGCTCCTGTTCAGAGGCCCTTTGCTGTATAGCTGCCACATTACACAATATTTCTGGATCTCACTTAAAAATATGCAGTGTGCAGTATACCAGGCCAGTTGTCATTTTCAAAACTGCACTATTTGGACGCTGTAGATTTGATTCAGTATCAAAATTGTATTTGTATACTGCTTTTGTTTGTCCATTTTCAACATTGCAACACTACCGAACTATTCACTGGTCACAGGTGTTAAAATGTTGTTGCCTAAAATCTACAAGGGAGGAGAGCACTTTGGCACTCTGGTCATACTTTTGAACTTCCCATAGGCAACTTGTTGGCTTTCGTGAGGCCAGGATGTTGTATTAGATAGGCCTTCAGAGTGCTTTTTGCAAGTCTTCGTATGTTCACACACTTAAACCCATCTTATGGCATAGGTGTAACCAGGATTTATGGGGGGGGGGGGCAGAACACACACATGTCTTGTTCCAGAACTGAGCTACCTGCAACACAATTGGTCAGTTCATAAAAGCCATGTGTATCACTTATCACTAGAATGCACCACATCATCATCCAAGTGACCTCAGCAAGCATTTCAATTTCAAATATTCTGATTAAAATACAGTGGTACCTCAGGTTAAGTACTTAATTCATTCTGGAGGTCCATTCTTAACCTGAAACTGTTCTTAACCTGAAGCACCACTTTAGCCAATGGGGCTGCCGCGCCGCTGGAGCACGATTTCTGTTCTTATCCTGAAGCAAAGTTCTTAACCTGAAGCACTATTTCTGGGTTAGCGGAGTCTGTAACCTGAAGCGTATGCAACCTGAAGCGTATGTAACCCGAGGTACCACTGTAACTAAAAGTAGAAATAAATAATTTACTTGATTTTAGGGGGGCAGCTGCGCCCCTCCCCCAGCTACGCACATGTCTCATGGACTCAATTTTAAATTGGGCCTTTGAAGCCTGGGTATTCTAAGGAAAAAAATGAGTGCAATCAAAGGTGTAATTTTAGGCTGAATGCACTTACCCATTCCTGTGCACAAGTGTTTCTGCTGTAGAGTGACCTCTTCTCCCAACTGCCAGCTTAAAGGACATGCATACATAGCTCCAAACTGAATGCTGATGGTTTTTCAAGCACCTGTTTGTCTTTTAGTTTTCAACCACTTGGTTTATTTCAAATTTGTTTAAAACTTTAAAGTTGGTAAGCACTTTACTATTAAAAAAGCACTTTAAGATGGAAGGAATGGCTTTGTTATTTGCATGAGCCAGTCAGTAGTAAAAAATCAGCATGTGCAAATAAGGCTTTTATTGAAAACCAAAACAGGATTACTCTGAGCTTGATGTGGGGTATACTATGGAGGGGGACGTGCAGAGTAGGTTATCTGAATCCTCCAGATGTGTGTCCATAGTGGTCTCACTGCTAAAATTATATCATTTGTTCACAACATATTCACGTTTCATATTCTCTGGGACCAGCCCATCAATACAATTCTATTAAAAACATGTCTTCAAGTTCTGTCTCTTTCATGAACCTTCCCAGATTTGTCTCAGGCTTTTAGAATATTTCTACATAAAACAAGAAATCTGCAAATGAATGGGAGATCAAACTACTTTGCAACAGATTAACAGAGAGAGTAAAGCTATTGAGGAAAAACTAGCTGCAGTCTTGGACAGTGTATTATACAATCTTTCCACCTATAAATAAAAAGTGGCAGCATTAATGGAATCTCTGGCATGGATATATCAACACTTGGCGAAAGCACAGCTTTTTATTAAGCAGCAGCAGACCAATGTGAGGCATAAGCATAGAATCCATTAACATTAGCACCATTGGACTAACATGAAGTATCAAGATGGCCCAATATTAAGGTGAGTATGAGGAAGAATGTGAAGAATGTGAAGTCCAAGTCTACAGTCCAGAGAAAACTCAGAAGCAAAAACATTGCAGTAATGGCATTTGAAGCAGTTTTTTCTAATTAATTTTACACATAATGGATTAGTGGTATCTTACAAAGAAGGATTAGACCAGCACCATTTGGAATTGTGAAAATGCTCATGGGAATAGCCTTTGTAAAATGTTGCTTCTGTGTAATGAGTACTTGTGAGCAGGGACCATCTAGTCACTTATGCATTGCCAAAAGAGAGGGCAAACAAAAAGGATTTGTCTGTGCAAATTACCTCCCTCCATTGAAACAAATGAGGTTTGTAGTGTTGTTGAAAAAGCATTCAGAGTGTTATCAAAACACTAGTGGAACAGATTACTGGGAATTAGTAACTCTGGCCATAGTTCACTGTGTAGTAATGTTTCAAGTAACTTTTACATGATTTAAATTACACAAATGGAAATTTATTGAATGCATAACACAAGATAAGCTTATGATATTTGGGGAACATTTTCCTTTTTTTACCTGAGGCTAAATCCAGAGTTTACTATTACAGCAAGAAATTGTTACTAATATTAATTACCATGCTGTGGCATAGATTGTGGTCACATTCTTTCAGTAACTCTTCAAGCTAAGGTTGCCATATTTCAAAACGTGACAATCCAAACACAAAAGTTCCGACATAGGTTGCCATATGTCCGGATTGTCCCAGACATTTCAGTGCTTTCCGCCCAGTTTCCGACTACCATATTCCGGAATTCCGGACATATGGCAACCCTACTTCAAGCAAACTAATTTAGGCTTTGAACTCAAATAAATTGACTTTACGTTGAACTCACACTGACTTCACTTGCACCAGTCTTTTAGATCTGGGGTAGTCATCATGGTGCCATCTTGTTGGACTACAGTTCTCATTGTTCCTGACTACTGGCCATACTGGCTAAGGCTGGTGGGACCTGGAGTCTGGCAACTTCTAGGGGGCACCACATTCATTAAACCTTACTAGGTAAGGCCCAACAGCTTCTAGCATGAAAAACATAGAAATGGTAAGTTGCTGCAGTTTTGTACGTTATTGTTTTTAAAGCTGAGAGCCTGGGCCTCTCGAAGCACAGTCAATTTGCCCCATAAATAAGGCAGAATAAGACTGAATATATGGAGCACTAAAAAGAGGAGTGTATTAAATGCAAGAGAACTGTAAGCAATGCAGACAAAGCTGTGTGCATCCAAATGGCAGTACAGGATCCATCAAAGAAAACATGGAGCTTTGTGCCTTTTTAGCACCCTGGCTAAAGGCCTATACTTAGAGGTAAGTTTTATTTTAGTGGCTATTAGCTAAAGCAGAAACAGTTATGTTCAGAGATGATGCATCTGATTGCCAGATGCTGGAACCAAATATCTGGGAAGCTATCTTCATCTTGCACTTTTTATTGGAAATCAAATGTTGGATTATTTGGACCTTGGTCTGATCCAGGTAGGGCATTTTATATTCTTATGGATGACTGTGACATGAGCAAAGAGAGCATGGAGATAAGTAATTTGATTCAAAGACTGCACTCAGATTCACTACAAGAATCAACACACTATCAGCTAGATGGCAAAACGGTGAGCACAGAATCAGAAAAGGGGAACACAGTTAAGAAAATTCAAATGATGTGGGTGCCTTGAATGAACTAACTCAGTTATAATTATGTCAACATCTGATGCAATTTAGCTATCTGCCTACTTGCAAATTGAGAAGACAATTAGTTTTATGTTGCAGTAGAACAGGGGTGAGGAAACTTATTTAAGCCCAAGAGGCAGATCTGAATTTGGCCAGCCTTTTAGGGGCCACATTCCTGTGGTGGATGGGGCAAAATAAAAGCTACCAAAAAGGAAACACATGTACAATATCGCCATTCCCTACCATTGTCAGAAACACACATGTATCAGACATGAAGGCATACGGTTCTCACTTCCCTCCCTCAACACTCTCTTATCCACCCTCACTCTATTGCTGGGGTGGGTGGAAATGCTGCCTTTTACTTTTAAGCACACAATTTATCTCTGTGCACTGTCGAACTTAGCGCTAAAATTGGAGATAAGCCCTTAAGGAGCAGGCAGAGGGATCTCTTATCTCCATAAAATGACATGGGGTGATTGGCAGGTAGGCAGGGCTCACTGATATAGGCTT